GTTACGATTTTTTTCAAGAATACCAGCACCAGCCGCCATCTTCAATTCATCATGGCGAAAAAAGCAAGCCTCCTAGGAGGTGTAACTTTTTTTTACAAAGTACTATTGATGGGTACTACATCTGTGAAAAAATCAGCTTGATTGCAAAAACTTCTCCTAAAGGCCATTTTTTCAGCTAACTGCCCTGGTCTACATTAGAATTTTAAACCTGATGCATTCAAAAGAAACATGTACATAACTATGAACAAATAAATAACAACATTTATACCATTTAATTTTGTTTTAAAAGTTTATTAGAATCGATAATGGTTCCAGGTTTATACAATATATATTACAAATGCAATATAGGGTGTCCGGAAAATAGCGTAAAAGCTCTTCACTACGTGGTGGAGGACTCTTCAAGGAACCCCAAAAAAATAATTTAAAAGATCTGGTGGCATTCTTAAAAATGTTATTAGCATTTTAATGCCTATTAAAATTGGCAACAATCAACAATGAGAATATCCTGTCGACAATTTGTCACATAATTAAATTAAATACCTATGTAATTACCTGAAAAATTCGAAGGTGACTAAAAAATGTTGCCAGATCAATTTTTCCTGTTGTTATTTAGAGATTTTGCAACTTTCATAATGCGTTTTAAAGGTTAATAACAAAGTTTAATAAACCATTATGTTATGAATCTACAAAAGATGTCTAACACTTTGTACAAATATTGCAATTTGGGAAAAAAATCAAAAATAAGGATGTTGAATTTCCACATTTACCTCTTCATATTGTCAAGAATGGCTAAGAAAGATTTTTTTAAATTATTTGTCTAGGGTTCCTCGAAGAATCCCCTACTACGTAATGGAGAGCTTTTACGCTATTTTCCGGACACCCTGTATAGCTAGGTATCAGTTTATATGTAGGTACAAAAATCGCCTTAATCTTTCTTATTTGAATGATAATATGATATAATCAACTTTCAATTTATTTATTCACAGAAACTCAATTTTAACAGCTTTCACAACAATAATAAAATATGTATAACAGTGTAGTAGAGTAGTAACAGCTCAGAATGCTATTATTTGCTTCATCTTCTACGACTCTTATTTGCTCTTATGTACTTTGTGTTATGGGGTTATTCTACAGTTCTACACCGAACAGCATGTACAATTATGTTGGCTTTCTGTCTTCAGTTGTACATAACTAACAGCATTATTCTATTTTTGCAGGTCATTGGTTTTTGCTTATCTAAAAACAAAAAAAAAACTCAGTTGTAGTAGGTACCTAACCTACTTTGGACAATAGATGAGTTAATGCTTGTTTGTTGCTTATTATAATTATGTTCAGATAAATCTACAACTTTTATTCAGGCCTATGATGTATCATTTTCTGTTATTTTAACAGCAACGTTAAGTTATCTGTCACTGTTTATTCTATGCGTCAAAATGGAGACAGAAATAGATGTTGAGCCTTAACACGGCCGTTAAAATAACAGGACAGGATACATCATAGGCCCGATTATCTGTAAAAGGAGGTTTTGATAAAAAATAGCGCAAAATAAATCTCACCTTTTTAAATTCATATTTCTTATTTCGGTACTGATTGCATTCCGACACCATTTCCATGATCACTTGGGGTAAACTTGTAAAATCAGTTTACAAAACGAAGGGTAGGTACAATAAACAGCACAAATCAAAAATTTTTTATTTACAAAAAGTACCCTTTTTCGAGGCCCTTTCACTACCAGATTTTGGGAAAAAGGTAAAATCTGCACAGGTAAACAAAAGCTGTTCGAAGGGTGAAGAAAGGTGTAGGACAAGTTGTAGGTTACAGTCTCGTTTTGTTTTCGCCAGAGTGTGGGCGGTTGGTTTAAGGAGCTCAAAGAGCTTCACCGGGTGGTGCACTAGAGGCGTGTAGAGACCAAATTTTGGCTCACCTCCGCGAGTAAAAACCGAGATTAATCGCCATCCGTGGATTTGTTTGCGTCTTTTTGACTAAGCCGGCTTAGATTCCTAGATAAACAGAAGGTTCACGCGTGGTTACGTTGGCAAAATTGCGGCTAGAGTCTGAGACTCGTGAAAACGCTGTTTGTTTTGACAGAAAAAGGTTATATCCGGTTTCAGCGATTGATCTAGGCAAATCCTGGATGTGCCTTTCATATAAAAAAAAAAATTGAAGATAGAAGAAAAGAGTGAAACAATTAGGGGACCTATGATATGGCCTAGAGCCAGACAACATCAGGGTCACCACGAAATCGTGCTGGCAAATTGCCTCAGTAGCAGCGCCATTAAAACAAAGAAGAAGAAGAAGAAGAAGTTGTATGTTAGAATTCATTACAAAGCACACAAGTTATGTGTCATGTCTTTGTCTAATAAAGCGTAAAAGATAAAGCTAAAAAATAATAATAAACCTCATTTATATCGATATTTTTTTTCCTTTTCTATCATCTTCATTCAACTAGAGAGAAGAAAATTCGATAGGGAACAGATTCGGCCGGTAAATAGGGCAACTAAGCGCATTCTGATTGGTCCAAAATCTGGCGGACTGTTTCAAATATTGCCATATTTTCCCCTTTAATATTTCCCCCAATATTTTTTTTTTTTAAATCAACCACATATTCCTTCAAGTATATTATTGAATAAGCTCCCAAACCATATTGATGAAATACCTAAATTCAGTTGAGTGGGAAAGACCCATTATACCAATGATAACCTATGGTTCGGCCTGGGATACAGAGGTCACACAGACTATAGCAGACACCCTATTTATTTATTTATTTATTTATTTCCTTCTTGCCAACGAAATCAAATACATGAAAAAGCAATGTCACAATTTTTTTTGTGTTGAGTGCAAATCATCCAAACATACATACAAAAATAGAACGTCAATTATACTAACATCAAAAGATAAAAACTACTAAAAAAACTTAATTATAAAAAACATAAATGCGACAGTCTAAATATTAAAAAAATAAAAACATTTAACTATCGCAAACTGCAAGACCGCCCTCTTGAATTTCCCAATTTCCTCAAATTCCTGATATCAGCAGGCAGGAATCTGTAAGCTTTGATACCGCGATAATAAGGGTCTCCTTCAAAACATGTGGAGCAATGTATGGGAATGCGGGGTTGATTCCTACCCCTGGAAAGTATACCAATGTTAATAGCATAAACATCTTGATTGGTTGCGAAAAGGTGTTGATTTTTTTGGACAAGAGTGACCAGTGCGACAAAATATAATCCAGGTACAGTTAGTATATTCAAGCTTCTCCTACAAGAAGTTCAAGGATAAAGATGTAAAATACATCTAATTATTGTTTTTTGAGCTCTAAAAATCTCATCAGAAAATCTGGATGCTCCCCGAATAGCGATTCCATAATTTATCTAAGCTGGTTGGGGACTGTATACGTGCCCTAGAGGAGGCGGGCCTGTCCAACAAACTTACCAGAGCCTGGTTATCAGGCCATGAGGGACACCTAGGAAATGAAAAGGCCGACTTTGCCAAATGAGGCTCAGCCACTGAGATGATAGGCCCAGAACCATTCTGCGGAATTTATGCAGGCCTTTTTAAAATACCTATCAAGAACTGGACAGACAGAGAGTTCTAGAGCTGGTGACAGCAAACACCAGGACAACGACAGGCAAAAGAGTTAATCAAATCCTGTTTAAGTTCACAGCGGACCTACTAAGCCACAGCCACAAGATCGTCAGGATCATGGTAGGCCAATTAACAGGCCATTGCAAGCTTAACAAGCACCTGGAAATAATGAGTCTGGCAGAGGATAGCCTGTGCAGGTGCTGCCAGGAGGCGGAAGAAACTACCATACATGATGGTGCCATTGCGAAGCGTTATGCAGGCTTAGGTTTGCGAGGCTTGGAGAGGAAAAGCCGAACCCGGCAAGCTATGGAGTGACCAGCATCATGGCTCTGGAGTCTAATAAAAAAGACGGGTCTAGAGAACGCACTCTAAGGACAGATAGGAGACACAAAAATAAATCTGACATCCCCATTCCAACAAATCCAATCTAATCTAATCTAACCAGTGGTTTCTGAGGGCGCCACAGAGTTAACTTTAAGAATTTCATACCTCAAATAATCAACTTTATCGTGACTTAACAGAGCGTGAGATGAAGCGAAACTGTCTGCACTCAATACCTATTTAAGTTTATTAAAAGTCTATTCATTAAAGCTTAAAAATCCCCGACATGTCCCCAGTTCCAAATTAACTATCGCTGCTGCATGATTGGGTGATAAGCTTCTTGAAAAAATCGGATTTAAGATTTGATCAATATCTGTTGAGAGCTCGGAGTTGTAATGTTTGCATAAATAGTTACCTATTGGCATATCGAATTTTATGATCTTGCTTTTATAGACCAATATAAATGGTTGATTAAGTTCACTCGGCAATATAGTTTCAATACATAAATTAATCAAACAATAAAAGCAGATTATATTTTTGGAAAAGTTTTAAATTTAATGATTTAAAATAATTTTATATCGACCAAAATTATTTTTGATAGAAGGATTATAAACCTATGTTTTACGAGCATATATATTAAACTAATATTTATACAGTTGGCTGGAGTTACCGTTAGGCAGTGAAACTTTTAATAGCGCATTTTCCTAAAATCCAATAATAAATTTATTTTACTGGTGTTATATCTGGTTAGTTTTAAATTTCATCAAACTTATAGTTGTATTCGAGATTCGAGCAACGAAATGAAAAGTAAAATGTATTTTCAAATTGGATTTTATCCTCAAGTGAGAATCGCTTAGCTTAACTTTTAAATCGCACCAGAATTGGCAGCTTGGAAGATGTAAAAGGTACACCTATATAGCATTTTGACGTTCAGCGTAGTGGAGAAGTAGGTAGCTACTTAAGAAGATATTCAAATCTGTACGGATGTCCACATTTCAACTAATGAAAAAGATAAGCAATTTTCCGGGTGTTAATCTTGCTAATGAATATTCAATGGCTTAAAATTCTCCGCTGCTTCATGCTTAGCCACCCCAATGTATTCAGATAACTCAAAACGTGGACCTTTCCTCTTAAACCACATAATAGACGCATACATAAATTCTGGACGAGCTGTAGGTTTCGTAAATTGATGTTAATTAGATTTGGTTTACAAAACAGATCCCCATGATTTAGGCGACAGCAAGTTCGCAGGTTGAGAAGGTAGCTAATAAGAAAAATTGAATAACCGTTTTAGAGAAGCTCTTTTAATTGACAGAAAGCGTAGTAAGAACGTCTCAATCATCCTTATCAATGATACTTTAATTTGTAGCATTAAAGCTCCTTGGTATTTATCTTTATTCAATTCTGAATATTTTATAGTTCAATCTCAGCCTTCTGCAATTCTGCCAAACATGTTTGTGTTTTGCAGCTAGTAGCTTTTGAATTTGGAATGGATCGAGTCCTTATTATCTGCATCGTAAATATTTACGAATATACGGCAACTCATCATCAATATTATGTACCCAACTAAAAATAAAAATTGTATGCGAGCACTTACCTGAATGATAATAATTGTTTATCCCGATTTATTTCATGATCACTGTAGCATGAACCATTTTTTTTGCTGGGCAGTGAAGTTGTCAAAATTTATGGTGAATGGATATTACAAAAGTTTTACTTTTGACCAACCAGTACCTATTAATTACTAATTTTAGAAAGCATACCACAACAATAAAAATCTGGGAAACAATGAATACAACTATAGATGAAAATTTAGGGTAGTTGCTTAAATTAAATTACAGTAGGAAGAGGCGAATCCGGGTCTCATTTCCTAAACAACGAGAAATTTATAATAGGAGGGTTACAGTCAAGGAAATGCTACTATTTTGAATACACAGCGGCAGTTTGTCAGAAGAGTAATATCCATTTTATTTTTCCTTTTTTTCTTCAAAAACGTTGGTAAGAAAATGGACACAAAATACTAATTCTAACAGAGGGAAAGGTGTTACTTGAGATACAGAAATTGGATATAATTTTATTACGGCAGAAAACAATGTGTTTCTCCTGTAATGATTACTTATAAAGGCCTATAAATTTCGAGTTTGTTATTAACTACACTTATCAAGTTACATGTCGAGCGCCACAACAACGAAATTCTTCGCAAACAGGGGTAATTTTTGTTGGAAACCGCCGAACAAGTAAACAAATAAAAGGAAAACCTTTTCGAGAGCCCTTTTCCTCTAAGGACTTTTGCGTAATTTGTTTTTCACCCGTTTTTGCAATTGCGTCAATTTTTGCCAGGAGAGAGTAGGTATATACAGTTAGGATATCATTGCTCGACCTAATAAATTCTCGAGAGACGTATCGGTACTGTTGACTCAATATATTAAAACTCACTTTCCATACGCTGTATTTGACTTCTATTTTGAAAATCGATATTCAAGTTGATAGCATAATAACTCATATTTTCCATATTTTGACTGCTTGTATAATTTACCTATCTACATAAAAATACAATATTATTTATCAACACAAACTAGAAATATCTGATAATTATTATATGAAAATATTTCAGGTTTAAGAGTCCCTACACAAACGTATTTTCAATAAACTTTTTTTCCAAATGATTAGGAAATAGAGTCATAACTTTCAAGTTCAAGTGCTGTTTGTCTGAGGCATTTCGGATATAAACGATCCAATAAGCAAGAGTCTTTGACTTTCTCCGAGTAAGGTTTTTCTTTTTGGCAAAGAACGCTTAAAGTCGGCCAAATATTCTGATATTAAACCGAGACCGGGTCGACCTGAGTAATGTTCTGGTAATGTCTACTACGGGTTACCCACTTTTAAAATTTTATTGAGTTGAAATGAAATAACCGCCTTATGACAGAAGTGTATGTTTTATACCTGTACGAATATATTAAATCGCAGAAGAATGTTTGTTCGTCCCTATATTTTATTTTTCCATAATGTCTGTCTATATTGGAAGTCTCCAAAATATTAGCACGACTCCTAATATAAAATGTGAAAAAAGGACCAATTGTCGAAATACTGGAGAAAGATCCCAGGACTGAGACAGGTAACAATGTTCATCCATCATCACCACAGCACAAAAGAGAGCAGAACAGATCCTTCACATAAACAGAAATTATCAGACTGTTGAACGGGGATCGTCTAGTGAAATATCACTTCATCATCATAGGTGATCACTCGATACCAAGTATGATTATCTCCTCTCCTATACTGTAGTTATTTAAAAAGACTCTCCTTGTCTATCGTTGCTTAGAACGGTTGCATTCATATTATCATGCAGCAGGCAAAGTATCTGGATGATAATATGAATGCGGACACCCAACCTTTGCCAATATCTTCCAAAGAGCTTCTCTGTTGACCGAATCAAATGTCTTCACTTAATTTATGAAGGTCATGTATAGCGGATTTAGTACCTCAGCATCAGCATAACCGCGACCATTTAATTTAATCCAAAATTGTATTTCTAGCAAAAATACCTTCACCTCAATCGATACCTATCCTTATCCTTTCTCTAATATTTGAAAAGCTCAACAGAGCTTTAGCATTCCCTTTTTGACTCTGCAAAATTGATGCGATTTCACGCCTATTTACTAATTTCAAAAAGATTCCTTGAACTCCGTCAAACTTCGTATGCGAGTTCTCGCTTGAAACTTTGATGGGATTTTTGACCTCGTAGAAAATCAAAACAATTTAGATTATAATCGACAATCGAATCGACAATATAGCATAGTTACCATTAAACATGCGACTAAAATATTATCTAGTCAAATATATTTCATAGGCAAAAAATGATTCTTAAATGTGAGTTAAATTGTCCTAAACTGAAGAAAAAATATAAAGCTCCTAAATTAAATTGGTAAAAGACATTTAAACATTGGATCGTAATCTTATTAACTAGAAATCCAAAATCCACACATTTGATACAAAGGTCCTTATAAAAATATATTTAGCCCAAACTATTTTGTCGCAGCTAGAGATAGATGTAAATTAGTTTCCCCCTTGTTAAACTTCTCCAGCGGTTACTGTGTTTGTTTTTGAAAGTCATTTTAGCTCACTGTCCTATTAATTACCGTTGCCTAAATAACCTGAACTACCGAAATATACTAGCCGTTTCCTAATAATGTTGTGACAAACCTTTTTATCCGGAGCCCGCTTTTGTCAGGCGCATTGGGGAAATTGTTCGATTTAATAAAAAGTCCGGGGCTTATTTTAGAACACTAAACTTTTGCAGATAACCGAAGGGCGAATATAAAACAACGACATTTGGAACGAATGAACGATCTTATTTGAATCTTAAGGTTTTTGACATGACATGTTATAAAATACCGAATTGGATAAATTGTAAAGTAGTAAACGACGTATTCAGGACCATCGTAAAATAGGGAACACTTTTGACGACAAGAGCCTGGGCATAAAAGTTAAATAAATAGTATCTTATATAGGTACACCATTTTATTCGAAATTGAATTCGTAAATAACAATTACTATTTGTTATTTTAATCCGATTAGATTGTTACTTGATGTCGAAAACATTTTTTCGAAAATCTCGAAATTTATTTTGACTCATTCTTCATGGGGAAATCCATGCCGGTGAAGAATTCGAGCAATGAACGACGCTAGAAAGCTTCTCGATATCACCTATCAAAAAGTATATAGGTACCATATGAAAAGGCAGCATTTTTCATGTCAAAATCAATGGAGGTTTAAAAACAGACAAAATTAAAGTGAATAGGGGAGTACGTTAGGGCGACAGAATATATCCAAAATGATTTACTCTGGCGCCGGAGAACATCTTCAAATCATTACCGTGGAAAACTAGAAGAAGAATAGGACTAACTTGGACAGCTTTTTGTAAAATAAAACAGATATTTGAAATGTTTGACATATCTAAACATCTCACACAAAATCAAAGTGTAGCGCCAGAAGTCTACATGGCTTGGTGAAATTCACAAGCAAGCAAACAAGACTTTAGTCACCTCATAGCTTTTATCTTAGAGCGGTCCATAATTTGAACTTTATTGTCGTCAACACTCGACACAGAAGTGATCCATTATGCTCCTAGAACCATAAATATCTTTATGCATGGGGTAATTTGTTCGATTTTTTCCCGCGAGAGGCAGCAGCGTCAATCAACGGTATTATGCTCTTGTAATTAGGTTAACCTATTTTTCTTGCTAGATGGCAGCTTCAACGACGAAGTTCTCAAAAGCATAATTTATTCATAATTTGCACTATTTTGTTCAATATTATAAATTAAATTTGTATAATGTTTTGCCTATACCTATTTGCCATTTAAAAGCAAACGCATTTATCGATCGGTAAAAATGTTATTTTACGCATTTTCTGTGTATCCCTTTCTCTATCACTAGAGAAATGTGGTTTTGGGTCGCAAAGTAGTGGGGAAGAAACCCGTCTCACTGCATTCCTCCTCTCTTGGTCAAGGACCTTCTCAGGTTGCAAGCGTGCTCTCAAGCAAGAATTAATTCGATAAATACGTCGCACAATTTAGTTATTTAATAAAAGAAAAATAGTTTTTAGTGTATCTGAATTGTTTCTCAGTAAATCAAATAGTTAAGAAGTGTCTTCTTTTGCCCCAAATGGCCAAATATCTGTATCCGTCGAACCAGTAATAAATATTCTATATACAGTCCACTCTTCTGCGTTTTATTTTGGTTTTAAAATAGAACGAATTAAGGTATAACCTTTAAATTCAGGCAAACAAAAACAAAATTATTGGAACTGAATTTAGGACTATGGATGTTTTTGAACTGAAAAAGGGTGTTCGGCTTACATCTGTTCCCGATGTTTAACAGTTCTAGTGTTCAAGAACTATACAATGTTGAGCCAATCGGTTCATACTCTGTGGTCGGGAGTAGTTGGAATGATTTTAGAACTATTAATTTTTGTTCTGACGTTGAGATAAGATTTAATCACAAATCACAAGTTTCCATATTGATTTTGCTTCTGTCTGTATTTTAAGTAGTTCTGTTATTATTATTTAGACAGGAAATGTTCCAGACACCAGGACCGTGGCGTCATCTATTACCAGTGAATTATAGAAGTGACATTTTATCATTTTAATAATCAAAAATAAAACAAAGTTTTAAATTATAGTTCTGCAAGGGAATATTGCAGTCGCTTGAAGATTAAATGTGGTAAGCCATTTGACTCAGAAGGTCTTTTTCTGCTTCGCTCGATTATCGAGCGTCGCCGTCAAACGTCGAGCTCAGCACAAAAAGACCCACTTCATCCAGCCTAATGACATAAATAACTATTCTCCGTCAGCACAGAAATTTGAAATTAAAAATCTATGAATATTCCAAAATTCAAAATTAATTGTAGGTACATTGTATTAATTGAACATGTGTCTAATTTTATTCATAAGCAGTAGGATCAAATTTGAATTCATTAATTTCCACCATGTCATCGTGAATTATTACATTTTTCAATTACATTAGGTATGTTTTCACCTCTTAGGAACACATTTAGGAACAGGCTTATGCACTACGTAAGAAAGCTATTGTTTATAAACTTCAATTATTATTACCAAAAAATTTAGTTGGTTTCGTCGCGTTGGTGTGACATTTTCGCTCAAAATCTTGCTGCAACTGTGTATCTTTTGCTTATATAGGTCACATAGGCATCATAGTCTGCTTCAAGTCCAAATTTAATGCCATAAATATAAATATAAATGTTTAATTTATTATGCTTGTTATTGAATTTTTGTATTTAAAAAATTGTCATCATCAATTATTTCAGTTTCAATATCGCTAGAGTTTAGAGCATACACCTATATTTGAAAGCGAAAGTTCGATTACCATTGCAAATTTTAACTTTTCTTTTTATAATAGTGAAAGCTAAAAAGAAACGTTCTAACAAAAGAAACTCATTTTCACGACTACATTTTTCAATTTGGAAACTAGCAGAGTTGAGTTTTTAGACCTTCCCATAGTTGGAACATAATTTGGTTAAAAAAACAAAAATCTCCTCAGGTAATTTCATCGAAATGGACATCTACGCTTCAGATAGGATCCAACCAGCAGAGGACAGCGGAATAAGGAAATTTTATAGAGGCTCTTGCAGTTGAGAAATTATTGAGGACATGCCCGGATTTGAAGAAGATTTTCATACTGTTACGAGCGAAAAAAGGAAAAAAGATTGAAGAAAGGTTGGAGGCAATTTTTGACGAACCTGTAAGTAAATATCAGTTGATTTGCAATATTTAAAACCATTGACACTTTGGTGTAGATTTAACCAACACATTAACTAATCAACTATTTATTTAAAAATTGAAATAGTTCTTTTCACATATTCCACATCAACTGGTGTGATAGGGGCTTAGTTAAAATTGTTTATTGTTTCATATCAGGATCCAATTGCTCTCTGTATGTGTTTATTATTATTAAATTAGTTCAATGCACATTCAAGTGCCATTTGGTATTTGTATTTGTCTTGTAGCGAAAAGCATTCACCCTGATTAGTATTGCATTTTTCAATGAATTTTAGCCATTCGACGGTCTGAAAAGAAATGACCCCAGCTTTAGAGATAAAGTCCACGTGGTAGTAGGAGACGTCGGTTTGCCGGGTTTAGGATTGAGCAAATCCGACAGAGAAAAGTTGACTCAAGAAGTTGATTCTATAATACATTTTGCTGCCACAGTAAGGTTTAATGAAACGCTGAGACTTGCTGCTTATATCAACGTTAGGGGAGTTAGAGATCTTATAAAACTTGCGAAAGATATGAAGAAACTACGGGTAAGTTCAATTTTTATAGAAATTATTAGTTATCAACTGACATGTTTTCATCAGAATCACTTATATTTCCATAATTTCAAGTCTATCTTTAAAAAAAAGATTGTATTGCTTACATATCTCCTCTTACTGCCAGAATTTTGCTATTCGTTCATTGACATGTGCCTCAACTTCAGATAAATGAATACTTGAGCAGGAAGGTCTACGAGCAAGCTTCGAATGTTGCGCCAGAGCAGGAAATAGAAAAATATCCTCAAAATAATCAAGCGAATGCAGAAAGAGATATTACAGTTGAAATTTCACCTCGTTTTGCAGTTTTTTTGCCATTATAGAAAACATTCTCATGCGAATTAATCTAAATCAGGACGAGCCCAAAACACCCCTCGGCTTTCTTCTTCTCTTAAATACGAGGCACCTACTACGAGATCCTCATCAGAAGACGACACCATCGCGTAATGTTCTTTTATTTATTACAAAATGTGAAACCCATCGTAGATTGTAGATTGTGTTTGCTGGGACTTATGGTCCTTCTTTTATTCATTATCAATGCCCGTTCTCTAGAATTGTCGTAATTCTACAACAATCTGTAATCTTTGAAAAATGAAGGTTTTCATGAATGTGAGTGAAATTTCACGGCTCACAAGCTTGAAAAACATTGACTACAGTAATTAGGTATATCAACGTATTTTCTAGGTATTTCTTCATGAATCAACAGCCTTTTCAAATGCTTTGGTTTCAAGGCAAACTATAGATGAAGTATTTTACGATCCTCCTATGACCGCTGACAAATTATTGGGTTTGGTAGAATGTTTAGATGATGATCAGTTGAAACAAATAACAGACACGTAAGTTCTAAAATTTATTCATTTAAAATTTGTTGTTTCTTTGGCTTTATTTGTCGTCAGTTTTGATTTCTTCATATATTCATCTTCAGGCCCAATGAATTTCCTAACTAGTAGCTCTTGAAAACTATTGAGTGCGACATTGTCGGCGAAGCGTAGACCATTTCGTCGATTGCCGTTTATATTTATGCCAGACCCAGTCTCTAGTATCTTGAATCCATGCTCTAGGCCAACGTGACAAGTTCTCATAGGTCATGAGAGCGAGATAGAGGGGAAGATGGTTGTGCCGGCGACTTTTCCTATGAGAATTTTAATGGTTGGGAGATGGTGGGGATTACCAAATCTACGGCGGAAAATAGCCTGCTCAGCTGGTTGGTATAGCTGCTCAGTTTAGGACTTGCTGATAATTTTCATGAGTTCCTCGAGTATTTGAAATAAAAACGAGATGCCATGACAGTATTTGACGTCCGACCTAACGTCTTTTCTGGAGAGCGAACCTACGAAAAACGGATTTTTTTTTTCCGTATTTCGGCGCTCTTCACATAAGTCCATCCAGTGTAGACAAGATAGTGTATCTTCTTCCATCATTTGATCTGTGATTCTGATTTGTTGCTTCTCACATACCTAATTGCCTTCTCGATCAGAAATTTTTCGATATCTGGTATATCTTCGAGACCGATATGTTTATTTTTTATGATTCCATCAAGAAACTCTGAATAGAAACGGTTAAGCTGAATATCGTGATTAAATTTGAAATTTGATCGACTCAATGTCACAGTGTAAGTTTTTAGGCCAGAAGAAGCTATTTATCAGCAGAATTTATAAAAAAAAAACATAAAGTATCTAGGTAGACAAATAAATTGAAATTTCAGGATTATCGATGAATTTCCAAATACATACGCTTTCACAAAATGTATCGCAGAAGATGTTTTGAGGAAAGAAGGCAAGAATATGCCAATTGTTATCCACCGGCCCTCTGTTGGTGAGCTATGATAAAAATATACATCTATTATACTAGCAATAAGTCATCTCTGTTTCAGTAATTTCGACTGTAAGTGAACCACTATCAGGTTGGATAGATAATTTTTACGGTCCAACTGGAGCCTTCTTAGGTGTAGCAGTCGGAATTATACGGACATTACGTGGCAAAGGGGAGAATATAGCCGAAATGGTTCCTGCTGATTATGTAATAAATAGTTGTTTGGCTACCATGTGGAATGTAGCAACAATAAGGCAAATAGTTGAAAATTATATATATGTACTTCAGAGACCAACATGGTTTTCCCCATTCCTGATTTCAGAGATTGAACTGTATTGTACCGATTACTTTATTAAAACTTACCCAAGCAGAACGTTAAAATCTAAGACTAAATGTTGGTTCTATAGTATGTGACGCATGGAATACTGAATCCATGTTGACGAGGCCTTCAGCTTTATTGATTGTTTTGGACATTTGGCTAAATAGTACCTACATTATTTTTCAAGGAATGTTCCCGACTTTAATAACAAATTTTGTAAACGGGTTACAATATCCACTTTATAGTCCGTATAGGCACTATAATGTATCTACTAATATGTTCTTTGTTTTTTATGATACAGATCTTTAGATGAAAACGAGGAAATTCAAATTAAAGCAAGCCTAAAATTTGAACAAGATATTCCGATATATAATTATGTAAGTTCTGTGCAGAATCCAGTGACCTGGGGTGAGAATTGTCAAAAAATGGATTCGAATCCATTTTAAATCTTGATTATTTCTAGATGAGTTTAAAAATTTGGCTACGAAACACGGTACTAAGTTTCCACCCCAGAGGGTCTTATGGTATCGCATCTGCAGATTTAGACCAAACTACTATGAAAACATGTTGGCAGTACTTTTCTTGCATACTATTCCTGCCTATCTTGTCGATTTTGTATTGATATGTTTAGGAAAAAAGCCATTGTAAGTGTGTTTGCTGGAAAAAGTGAAAACATTATAAGAAAAAAAAATAACGAATTGTAGGCTTGTGAAAGGATATCAGAAAATAAAAAAATTTGCTCAGGTTATAGAATATTTTGGAATGAACGATTGGAAATTTAAAAATAATAACACGCAAATGTTGTGGAATAAAATGAAAACAGCCGATCGGAAATTTTTCAAATTTGATATCGAGAAATTGGACTGGGATTTGTATATGTACACTTATTGCAGAGGTAAGTTATTGCGTTGTTAGCAGAAACTGAGTGAATGAATGCCCGATTCCCGCATCATGGCCTGGCACTCCTAACACTCACAAAGTTGATAAACGATTTCCTAATTTTAGGCTGTAGGGTGTATCTGTTGCAAGATCCCATGGACACCCTGCCGCAAGCAAAAAAGAAATATCGTATTCTATTTGTACTCCATTATTTCGTACTTGGTGTATTCTCGCTGTTGGTATTGAGATTTGTCCTAGCTCTGTTCGTGGTTTTAGGATCTTTATTAGTCTAAATTGAAAATACATCTCTTTTATTGATAATAAATTAACAAGTAAATATATACATTATATATCTTTTATTGCATTACCTATTTCTTTCTATAGGTTTGACAAGTCAACATCTTACGGGCCAATTTCAATGCAATAGAATGAGAAGATAAAGTCTAAGGTTAAATAGAGAACGGAAAAGATTTTCCCTGCTCCACCTCCAAATACGACGACCGACGACGGCGAAGTCGAAGAAGACTAGCCAGTGTTGCCGTTCCATAGAATATTTATGCACCGTGCATGATTAGGGATAGTCATGCATCATGTAACCTTGATCACTTGGCAACGTTGTAAAGAGGAATTGTTGCCCACAGCATTCCCCTCTCTCGACAAAGCCTATTCTTGGGTCCTCGCGCTGGTGGAAGGGAAATCGCTTTTTCTCTGTCCTTATTACATTAAAGGCTTTGCCTATCAAATTGTCATCTCTTTCTATGGCACTGGAAATCTCCTCATGTAAAACGTTGCGTTGCAGTGTTACCAGATTGGGGGATTTTCCCCCAAATTTGGGGGATTTTCAAGTAGATGGGGGAAAATCTGGGGGATAGTTTTTTCTGGGGGATCTTTTGGGGGTAAGAATTGTAAGAATTTTCGCTATTGGGGGAAATCGGGTATATTTCAATGAATAAAACTAAAGTAAAAAATGTATTAAAACAACTGCGCCATCTATTTTTTCAATCAAGAACTAATAAAAAATATACAGTTTGCTTCTTCTCCAGTGTTGCCAATGGGCGGATTTTAATCCGATTTGCGGATTTTTTTCGGATTTTGTAATTCAGAGGATTTTTTGCGGATTTTTTTAGATAAAACGAATAAGGGCATGAAATCCCTCCAAAACACAAAAAGCACATGGCTGCTATGGCAGTATGCAACAAAAGCATTTGGTGTGGTTTTGAGATTATTTTTTAAACTATCCAAACTTCTTGGTACAACTGTACTTATCTGTTCTGTCACCAGTCACAACATTTTATTTCATTTGTCATTTGTCAATTGTCATTTTATTTTTGGGATTAGAAAAATATAAACAAATAAAAAAGTGGTAAGGGTATGAGTTTTATTTTAAAATATTCAACGAATTTGTCTTTTTTTTTTTGCAAGTATGAGTCGAGAATAAATCTATATTATTTGGGGGATTTTAGTTGACAAACAGTGATTTTTGGGGTATTTTTGAAATCCTTTGGGGGAAATTAGTTGTAACCATCTGGCAACTCTGTTGCGTTGCCAACTTTGTTTAGTGATTGTCGGATAGTGATTAGTATTCTGCTTCTATGCAGCTAAATTATCGCTTCCTCTAAGGCTTAAAATAACGGAGATAAACGTAACTATGAATCAACACCCGTATACCTTATATCAACTAGAAGTTTTTGAATGTAATTTATCGTTGACTACAGAAATGTCCAAGTTCTATAAGAGTATAGGCAGCCACGTCAGGGTTTAGCCGTGAATCGGAAAGTTAGTTGATCAATTAAATTGATATACTTTAAACATTCAAGCTGAATTTGAGTGAAAAAAGTTTTAGTCAACTGAAAATATCGAATGTCATTACTCAACTATTCAAGAGCCAATCAGAAAATTCGGCAAGTTAGCACCATACGTTGAAGGTTGACGTATGTTTCGAAACAACTGCTGCCGGATTCTATTTTCGAGTCGAATCGAATTGTAAAATTGTAAAAATTTTCCGTTATGACACTCGATATCGAATAAGACAGCTCCGGACGTACCGTGTAATACGTATCGAAAAATTGAAGAATAGAATCGCTATTTTGACAAATCGATACGAATTTTGACTTGACTCGTAAAATAGAATCCGGCAGCTGATTTGAACAAGACTGGAGCTAACCTAACCTCATTTTGTTCTCTAGCCTATGCTCTAGCTGTCAAAATAAATTTGTGACGAAAATTAAATCAAATATCGCATATCTCTTAACTAATTATACAAAAATTATAGCATTCTCCTGGCGGGAAATGGCTATTACTCAGTCGGATGATTACACTACTCGCCTGTGGCTCGTACTGCCTTTATGCTCGTGAGTAATAGCCATCATTACCCACAAATACAGATATAGGTTGCATCCGCAACGTTCCAGAAATTAGCTTCATTCTCCATTCATAACTGTTATAATTGGTTTTCATTACCTATTATTAAAATGTTTAACGTTTAATATTTTCTATTTTATATATTATGTATGTAATAGCTACTTCGAGTTGCCGAACAAACCATTTTTGTTGCAATATTTTCTTGAATCCTCAAAATAACACTTTTGTCTAAAAAACGAGTCGAAGTTTATCTTTTCCAATACACCAGAAAAATATACATCAATTTTTCATTTAAAATAGCTATATTGCGACAATAACAAATTGCTCATTGGGGAAAAATTCAGCACTAAAATAAATTTTTACGTACGTCTTTGGAGCATTCACTTTATTAAAGAAGCTACTGGATAAGCCTAAAATCATTAAAGTTGCGAGAAAGCCATTTTGTTAATGGAATCATCCATGAAGTTCGAGTGGCTATATTTGTTCTTTTTGGTAACTTTATGAAAAATTTATTCAGAAATTTCTTAGCATTCACTTCGACAACTTTTCTGACGACTGTTTACGCTGACTTGATGACCAGCTTAATGTTGTCGCGTTCAACTTTTTTAAATGTCAGTTTCACAGTTTTTATTGCTTCCATTTACCTAACAAGTGAAGTTTTATAATCGAAAAAAAAAATATGATCCGAAAATTGAAATTATTCCAGATTTTCGTGTTTTCTAGATCACGAAAAACAAAATATCATTCTGTCTACAGTGTGTCCCGCATTAGGACTGACCACCCTTCTAAAAGTATTTTTTTTTTAACCGATTTAATTTTAATTTTTTTGTCTTATATCTATCTACCTATAACCCGAATTTGGCTCTTATCAGGCGCATAATTTTATTTCTGCGGCTGTACTGGCTGTACAGAGTATTCACATTTATGAGCTCAAATTTCAATAAGTAGTATTAGGAATTTTTTTAGAAAAAATTTGATAGCAAATTCTTGTTTAGAATGGTTTAAGACCCAAATGTACTAATTTTTATTTCAATTATACAGGGTGATCACAACAAAATATTTTCAACATTTAATGAATTAGTGCGGTGTTTTCTATTTTGGAAGTCTTATTCGCTACAGTATTTGGATTGGGTGAGAACTATTCCTACTATTTGTGTATAGTTGGTACTAATTTGAAATAATTTCAGAGGCCATCGTCAAGATGATTGGCTTGCTGTACCACTACTTTACGGTACCGTGGAACGTCTTCGACTTTCTTCTGGTGTTGGCTTTAATTTTAGGTATTTTAAAGAAGGACATCATGATTGATTTTCCGGTTTCGCCCTCTTTGCTCAGAGTTGTGTGGGTGTTTAGGATCGAGCGCATTTTGCGTTCGTTTAAAATGAAATATTGGGCTTTGATTCGAATCTAATCACGTTAGAATCGGATTGAAATTAATAAAAATAAAGTTCAATTTTGGTTACACGGTTAGAAATAATTGCCCAGATCTCTGTTGGATATTCAAGCAAATTGGACTAAATTATATGTATATCATCAAGAAATAAATTCTCTATAAATCCGTGCAAAATTGAGCGTCATAGCTGGAATAGTTTTTCAGCAATTGAGACTCAAAGTTGGCTTTCAGAATTCGAAAAAAGTACCCTTTTAAAAACACAATTTTTGAATTTTTAGTTTTGTTCGATTTTGACTTCACCCATTAATAAAGCGGGTCCAAATTAGTAGAAAAGACATCAACTCCAAATGGCCACTTTAAGCAGAAACAAAAATAAAAAGAAAATCCTATTTTTGGCTCTGGAAAATTTTCAAAATCTTGACATAGTCATGAAAAATTGCCCATATCTTTGTTAAATTTCAAACAAATCAATCATTGGAACGAGCATTAAATTCTCTATAAGTCTGTCCAAAATTGAGTTGGATAATATATCTTGAATAGTTTTCGAGTAATTGAGCCTCAAATTTGATTTTTAGTCCAAATTTTGTCAAGAACTTCAAACACAATTTGCTCAAAAACTATAAACCTAAGAATATTTTAAATTAGAGGCCATCGCGCCATTTAGAGATTAATATGAGCTACAAATTCAGAAAATTTCAACACAATTTGCGCAACGATTACCGAGTACTTAGGGTTTGAGGATTTTTGAATTAGAATTCAAAGGGGGTATGAAAAACCTCATGAAAAATTCAATTTTTTAATTTTTCAGTTTTGCTCAATTTTTACTTTACCAATTAATACAGCAGGTCAAAATAAGTGGAAAATAACCCTGACATCAATTCCAAAAAAAACAGAAACAAAATTAAAAAGGAAATTTTATTTTTGGCTCTCGAAAATTTTCAAAATCTTGACACGGTCATGAGCGACTGCCCATATCTTTGTTGAATTTCAAGCAAATTGAAAAGCTCAAATACACTAAAGAAATAATTTCAAAACAATTGAATAGATATATAAATTCGAATAAATTATGTATCATTGGAAAGAGCAATACATTCTCTATAAATCCGTGCAGAATTGAGTTTATTAGCTCAAATGGTTTTTGAGTAATTGAGCATCAAAGTTGATTTTCAGTCCAAATTTTGCCAAAAACTTCAAACTCAATTTGCTCAAAAACTATGAAGCTGGAAATATTGTTAATTATATTTCACAATCTCCTCCTCAAGATTACATAACACATGTAGTTTCCATCTCCGATGGTGTCGAACCACAAAGTTTAAAGCAATAAAAACCCAAAATACCATACCTGACTCATCCCTATTGTACCTGTACATTACTCGTTTTTGGATTATCAGTTCATTTCTTTGTGTCGTCGAAACCGCATCGTTAAATAGCAAAAATGGGCAAGCATCGCCGTGAAGGAAGTGGCCGAGAGCACGTAAAAAGGAAAATTCGGAAGCTTTTGAGGCAATTATCAAGTAAGTTAAAACAATAAGTGTTTTT